GAGGACACGAAGCTAGTACAGGATTCCTGGGCTAGACAAGACATCGTGGGGAACATCCTGATCGTGTGGACTAGGGGCGCAGGCCGCTCATTGTCCCATCTACCGTTGACATTACGGGTGTTCGTCACGTGATCCTACTGACCCAAACCCTTCTACTCTTCTCTTTTACTCTGACGAAGCAAGCATGCATTAGGTGGCTTGGGATAGAAAGTTTGATGTGTGCTGATGCCCTTTCGGAGGTCGCATTAGAAGTCAAGACGAAAAGCTGTTTACAATGCTTCTAAGGATGTCTCTTTCGTGGAACGTCAAATGGAAAACTTAAACTGCCTGCGGTAACCTGACTTTATAGCTTTTCGGATGAATTCCGTACAACCAGATCTCTAGGCATCATTGCTTTTGCAGTAACAGAAAGCTACTCGCGTTGCCCCCTGATTTTCCAGTAAAATACTGAGTTCGTTTTTATCATTCCTTTGCTTACTGCATGAAGTTCCCCTGAGACCAGTGACCGTTAGTTATCAGTTTCCGAGCCACATCCTGTGCTCACTTACCCTTTTGATTCATCTCGAAATGTAGCTGACCTTTTACTGAGCAATGCCTTTTCCAATCACTTCCGAGGTCATCACCAATTCTTATTCAGATTTCATTTTTTTTGGAATATTTTCTGAGTTAGCCATTCTGCCACCGCGGGACACGTTGCAAGAATTGGTACGGAATAACCAGAAGGTCCGTTTTTTTCACTAAAAATAAGGTCTATAGATGTATACTCGTAATTCACTACTCATAAGGTTGATGAGAATTCTTCGACAACCCACGACTGGTTTCGCCCTTCCACTTCGGGCTCATCAGGTAGGCGCAGTCTCCGAGTTTCCGTCAACATTATGTTCTGCTTGAACCCAGATTGCACAAAACTAGCGAATACACACTCATTTGCAAACTAACTTGGTTTTTCGAGAGACATACCTGAAACCCAGCTGAATCTCTTGTTTATAATGGTTTCGATCACTAAGTTCGTGCAATTTGGGTTCAAGTAGAACGTAAGGTTGACGGAAACGGGGGACTGCCCCTATCCGATAAGCCCCAGAAAGGGTGAAACCTACCTTGATATTTTTTATCGCAGGTCGCTCAGGCCTTCCTGAGCGTGGATGTTTGGTTCAGTCTTCTCTGAATATAATAACGCTCACGTAATGGGTGCAGGAGATGGATCATAAATGCATTTTTCACCGTACAAAGTAATGATTCAAGCCGAAGCATTCACACAACATTTTCATCAGGCTAGCTAGCGGTCTCTAACCAATCAAGACGAGCACGTCGTATTCACTGAGGCGCTCACAAGACCATATTCAACACAGATAAGCGGCCGACCAAGATTCCAAAGCCTCCGAATTATACTGAAAGATGGAGCGAATGCTCTAGCACCTCAACCAAAGGGTACGCTCACCTGGTACTCGTGGCCCGGTGATTTTGACAGGCAAACTCACAGCTAAATGCAATGGAATGATTTGACGTTCAGACAACCGATTCGGTCAACCATCTTCCTGAGGACTGACCGAGCCCTTGGTGATCTCACCCTCATAAAACCTATCAAACTAGCCATTTTGCCTGCAGTGTTGACTGAATCTACAGGCTTCCTTATATGGTTCTGGTGCAATAACCTCAGACATGGGACAGCCAATCATCCGGTGTCATGATCATCACCTCGTGAGGAGAACCCCGGTGCTCCACTGCCGTACCTGTGTACGTATGTGGGCTGGGATACTGACAACGTCCCCAGACATAGAAGGAAGGAAGATTAGGGGTGGTAACCAAAGAACGGAGTTAAAAAGCAAACTAACCGCAAGATAGCGTTGTTTGATGTAAGACCGTCAGAACAATCTACAGTTTTAAGCAGCAAGTCACCACACATTTGTTCCAACTCTCAACCTGATGGACCGGGAAATTGTGTTAGTCAGACGTCTAACCGCTCACCAACTTGGTAACAGGGACTTCCAGTGTTGTACAGACACCCTCCCAGTATATCTCACACAAACCATCACGCAGCAGTAAGGTCCGAGCACTTCGTGGCGGTTCCATGTCACGATCTTATTGCGCCGGTGTCCCGCGGAGTTACGTCGCTGTAAATGAAACATAGCAGTCAGCTAAACTACAAACAGGGGAATAATTTGTCCCATAACACTCAAAGCATCTCTTACTCAGAACTGTATTACTCAGTGTAAGACTCTGTTCGCTGCAGTCCGAGGGATATTTTGCTTATTGGTAAAAAAGCTTTCCGTTCGCAGTGGTGCAAGCAGATAGGGGGTCATCCGCTGACCAAACGAACAGAGAACAGTCAACTCGGCTTGCCCTCCAGAATGGGGATCGTGTAATTCTCACTGTGCGTGGTCGAAGGTATGGCTGCCAATCTATGTCAATGGCGTTCCTGTTGTCCGTTTCTGGAAGTGTCCCGAGAAGTAAACACTCCGATAAGCCAATTCCCCTTTCCATCCATTTTTTAAAATTTTCTTTACAATAAGGCGAAAAACATCGGTTCCGAACACCGATTTAGTGCTGTCGATGAGAAATTACATGTTAACAGGATGGGTATCAGACGGAACCGTATTCGTATTCTCTAACTAGGCCGCGTTCATTTTTCCCATCTTCATTTTGTAGCAGTCGAGAATGCTTTTAGGGCAACTACAAGGTTGCGAATAGGTGGACACCTGTCATGTTACTAATGAAACCCACGGTTGAATGTTTTCTTGCCCAAAATTGATTTCTGGGAATTCATTACACGTGGATAGAGTTTTTACACCAAAACGCAGGTACCCTAGCATATCTGTGGTGCTGTAAATCCGGTCTGGCATTTTTTGAAATTGTGGTATTCGTACTTTTATGCCAAAATTTTTTATATTTTTCCTACTGGTGAAAGGAAGAAGAAGGAGTTATTAGAAAATGTCAACTGAACAGTTACAGACTATTGGACAGGGGAGCAAAACTCTCATACGCATCTTGTTTACAAAACTGAATATCCATCTTCTCCTTGAACGCGTCTTCCTGAACTTTCCCGGATATTCACTGACTGTTGCTCAAATGCAAGCAAATGTGACTCCGCAAATTCCGTAATAGATCTCACTTTTCAAGAGAGGCGAAGCGTATTTACGAGAAGACATACTACTCGCATGCTCCATCAGTAGTATACACCGTTGCAACCTTAGCAGATAAGAATTTGGGTTGAAATAACCTGAATCGACAGTTTTTGTCAAACGGAACTTCATGAACCGCATAGAAAACCCAACCGGAAACGCTTTTGGCTATCAGTAGTATCCACCGTTACGCTGGTAGAATTGGGGTCGGACGTTTGAATTCGGACCGGAACTACTGAAGGTTGGTTACACAGTCTGGATAAATACACCCCAACAGTCCGAGATTTCACAGACAGACAAGCTTAGGTGTCGAGGACACGCTAGCGGGGAGTAAAGTGGTCTATCGGAGACATACCCAAAAACAGTATATTGTACAAATACTTTGTCATTCTCGCCCGGAAATTGTGATTTGGCCATGTAAACCGAAAAAAAGCTTGACGAAGGGGCGAATTCCCAAATGATTATCAGGACCATGATGAGTATTTATTGAGCTTCAGGTGGCGGCATAAGCTCCTACAAGACAAATTATGCTTTCAATGTACGCGCGCACACATGAGCGGAGTGTGACATCAATCAGCTGAAAATATCGGTGAATTTGTGGAAAACGGAGTACGTCGGATCATCATCTACGTCTAGTCAGGTTGTGTGTGAATAGCACTCAACGAAGGCACAAGGAAAGTAATGTCAACTTGGGGGAAAGCTAAGCTGATTGCTGATAATTCCGACGAACAGGGATACTTAATACTCACATTGTAGTAAAAGAATATATATTTGTTTGAAGTTAAGTCCCATTTGCGGCCGGTGCAACTTGATAAGTCCTCTTTTGGACGGCCTTGAAGGTGAGTAGGTGCTGTCTAGAAAGCTGTAATAGAGGTTATGATCTACCGTGCGACTCAAAATGCGTAATAATATCCAAAATTACTCACAGATGTTGAGATTTAAGACCATTTTAGCTTGTAAATGGTTAGACAGATTTATTGGACTCACCACTCCAGTGACGGCCATCTTGGGAATGACCTACTTGGGATGTCACACGTATACTTGAGATTTGGTAATGAAACTTCTGTTGCCATGACAGACTGCCAGGTTGCGCGCTGAGCAGACTACTTATAACCTTCAGGTTAATTTTGGTTGTATCCACGTGTGACGAGGCAAAACCTTCGTTAGACTCCACAGTACATTTTCACCATTTCGAAACGATCTAATCTCTCCACGCTTCCTTGTCTCGTTTTCGTTCAATTCATTTTGGCTACCATTTTAAAGAAACCAAACTAATTTTGTTATCGGTCACGTGATAGATTTTATCCAGGTCTTCTGGGACATTAGCGTTTTGTTGAAATTTCAGTGCCCTACACAACGCTGTCTGACGGAATAGTCTGCCAAGTGGGGGGAGAAAGTGTCACGGACTAAGACTGATAGCAAATTTATTTCTACTGATCACTGAAAGCTGAAAACTTCCTGTGCTGGTGAAGCGAGTTTCCACATGGACCAACGCAGAGACCATATGCTGCGTTTTCTATAAACGCAGCGGTACCTTATGTCACGAGTCACAAAGTGCTCAACTGCTTAGTTTGTAGCGGTAGAGGAATAGACCATTTCCCTATGACCCCTTCGGTTTTATTTCAACAGAAGCTACCGCTAAACATTCCGCGACATTTGTCATAATTTTGAGGACAGACTTGGGTTCTAGGCACAGGTGAGTTTCTGGAATCTTTCAATTTATTCCTGACTAATTTTTCATTATCTTTACTGTCCAAAAAAGAGGACTGTCGATAAGAAAAGCTTTATTCTCCTTGTGAAGCAATTTCTTCATGCATAACAGCATGCAATGATTGGCAATCTCGTACACAGTTTGTTCATTCATATAAGTGAAGAGGTGTACAAATGGAAAATAATCGATATCAGGCTGTGTAGTGTACACTGGCCAGGATATGGCACTCGCGAAGAGTAAGTACAGGTACAGATTTTCAGAATAAATATTTGATGAAGGCATATGGACGCGTTCAGTTTGGTGACTGAATGGAAGCCCGTTGGGCTTCGACGTTCATGGGGCTGCCGCGATTGAGCAATTCCGATAACAGTGCATCATGCTGAGATGCGACAATGAGCGGTTTTTGAACAACGTTCGGATGCACGTTGGCAGCTTTGTGGATGGAAAGGGTCGGATTTGACCGGTGATTCAGCGTGTAAGTGACAAACGTGTGGTTGGGTTCTGGACGCATTGTATTATAGTAGTGCTCAGTACCTTGAAGACGATTACTTCTGTAGCCAACAAGGTCTTGTATGTCGATGGCATTGACGTAGGGACTCTGGCTTGGTTCACATTCTCGCCTCCTGTGGGAGGACCAGCCAACATGCGTTAGGGTATGGTAGTAATTTTTCCCGTACGGAGAAGAGGAGACCAACTGTATGTCATAATCTGGCGGAGAGGTGCACACGGCTTCAGACGAACGCTGTGAGAGGGCTTTATCCGGAGTGCCCAATGTCCGCTCCGAGCTGGGTCCACCAAGTACGTCTATGGTATCGGGCTTTGCTTTATCGATCGTGGTTGAGTCTAGATTGGAGGTAAGAATGAAATCAGAGTGCGCACAGCTATTCTTTTGTTGCAGTTGAATGGCATTCTTGTAAATGCCCTAGTACCTTTACAGGTGCACAACTCGTATGATAAAAGGTCATTTTTCGCTGTTCGTGAGGCTTTTGGTGGGGGGTTGTCAATCTCAAGATTTTTTTCATTATTTTGCTGGACTTTTTAACCAATCATTTTCAGCAATGCGACTCAAACGAGCAGTACGTGGAACACTGGGGCATGTTTTTATCGTAAACCATGTCCTTTCTCGTCAAATCAGAAAAAAAAACAGAATCAAATTGGCGCACAATACTTGGGCTGAGAAGTTCATCTCAGCTAGTGAATCTATTCCACCCCTACAATTTGAAAAACACTTAATTGTGTGTAGCAAACCTGCGGTCGGAACCCGATGTGCTCAGTCTTACATTATGTCCAATCACGTTTGCTTTGGGAGTTGGGTCACGTGATCCGGTTAAGACTGCTTTGGTTGTCCTGTTTCCGGTTCACAATCAAATCCGGAAAACTGTTCTAATATTCAAGGCTAAACACAATTTGCTTGTGAATTTGGTACCACAGAGCTTTTGATGGCGGATGTTGTAAAACACCAAGTAGCTGGTGACTAACGGTGAAATGTGGATGAAGAACAACTCTCGTTTTGAGGACAAATGAGCAACGTTTGGATGGTGTGTGCTCGATTTTACAGACACGTGCTTGTCTGAATGCAAAAAAGTCAATACCACATTGTCTCCAATGCTTCTTGTTAAACGTTTCAAAAAGTATTCCGATGTTCTCCCATCGATCAAGAACAGGAGATCGGATAACTGCATCTACATGACTTGAGGTGAACGGGATTTATGGAACTGGTGTACGCTTGAAATCCAGCTTGGATACAAACCGAGCAAAGTTTACAAGTTAGGCTGCATAGACCCCATCAGCCTAACATTGTTTCACTGACATAACAAAGGTGTGTGGTCAGTATCATGCGTTTCTTCCGATTTAGAGGCATTTTCATTGGATTCTGGTTAGCATAAAACAAGGTTTTACCTGCCTAATCAATTCAAATCGGTTTTGCTTGGGAGAAACAATGTTAGGTGCTGGTCGTTTTTGGCAGGTCGGTGTGCGGTTGCTCACGCAAAGGCCTTTCCGCGGACCGTTTCTAGGCTTTAAACTTGTAGCTAGCCTGTCACCCACATATTTGACAGTTCAGCTCACAATCGCTCACTTGATTACGAGACTTTTTTATACTCACGAACCACGTCAAATTAAGGTGACTCATCGGACATCGATTGTCTGTGCCGTCTAGTTAGCGTAGCAACAACTCATGTGCTGACACACCCACATACACGCACTGGGACCTACATAAAGGGAAACCGAACCCAGTCAGCACACACAGACTCGCGCGCGCGCGCAGGGAGCAAGGTGTCAGCCAAGCGCTCCAAATTCACGCACAATTATGGAATACGTGAAGCAGCCAAACTGCGGAGGAAACACGTTCCCGCTGTCCGGACTTCTACCAAGGAACTCACACACAATAAGTTCCCTGTTGACTTGCTCCACATTTTATATTGCCTTTATTTTATACATGCTGCACATCACATCTCACCATTGTCAACCAGTCCAATATAGGCCTTATAAAACATTCTCACCTGAAATCAGAGTGACTGGCTTGGTAACAGCAGATTCCTTTATTACTCTGATTGGTGGGGGGGAGGGGACTGAGTATGTCGGTTTATTCCCCGAACCGCGTGTTCGTCTCCACAGGACAGATACAATCCTCATGTATGCCCCAGAGGATACTGAGGGTATACTAAATTTTATTGTTAGAATTATTATTTAATTNCGGTTCGGAAGAATTCCGAAGACACCTATCAATAGCTTGGATAACCAGGAATGAGAGAAAATAAAAACTCATGGCAGTCGGGTGGTCCAAAACTTGGATTCTTACGCGAATTACAATGGCATCGCAAAATGTTGTCAACAGACTTTAACAAAACTCCCTGTTTGCAGTTACGCGCATTTTTACTCAACAACTTTCCTTGTCCTACGGTACAGCTGTGTGATCAAGCAAGAGTTAGGCCCTTCATCTCAGCGAGGTACATTTAGGTCCCGGATACAGGTAAAAGCACTCCCTGAGTCGTGATGATTTGCTATGACAAATGAGCGAGATACTCTTATAGTAGGAGACAGCTTCCTCTAGATAATTTGCTAGACTTACCTGAGCACACAGTCGAGCGAACCGTGGTCACCAATTTGTTGAAATAACCGGAGTTTCGTTTCCCCTCTTCAACGTCTTTTCGCACCTTGATTTCCGTCTCCTTTGCCATAGTGTGCGGTTCATACTTCCGAGGTGGGGCTGCCAGTGTCGATTCTGGAGTGTCCTTACTTGGGGATCCGTTTTCTTCGTCAAGCGGGGAACAACGTGCGTCGGTAGTTGCCGCAGGTAGTTCTGAAGAGTGTGCCACTTGCTGCCGTTCACGCTTTTGTTTTGACATCAGCGCAAATGCTAAGAAAATGAGAATTAGTAAAAATGTTTCATGACATAAACGCAACGTAAATGCTCTGGGGCTCCACCGAGGTACCTTCTACTCTTAGTGGTACAGACGTATGTACAGAGTAAGTTCCATCAGAAAGACAGCCTTCTATATCTGACTGGACAACTCCAGAGGGAGACAGATCCCCACTTTTGTGATAACGCTTATTGGAATGTTACGGTGTACATGTGTTATTTGTTCTAGACTGGAATAGAAGCGAACAACAATGGCGAGATCACACCTGACCGCATTGAATCATTTTCTGTCATTCAGTGGTAAATCCAGTCGGTATTCAACCTCGGAAATTGCATGCATAGATATTCTGTCGACCACCTGCCTTCAAATCAATGAAAAATGAAGAACTGGGCGTGAAATCAGTCAGCGTACATAACGTCTGACTGACAACTGTTCATCCCCGTAACAGCATCGTCTTACTTTTCGGTCAAGGAAGCTTACACCTGTGAAGGTCTGTAAACCACTGAGTATCGATCAGGTGAACATAGCCTGTAACCCCTAGAACACTCAACCGTCGACTTGTTTATGTAACCTGATTACAGGGAAATCTTTAAGTCCACCCGGCGAAAAAAATCATTCAGTTGTAGCATCCTCTAAGAGCCTAACTGCCACGTCCCCAGATGGAAGACCGAGAGCTGGGATACTGCCAGGCTGCCCAAGCTTAGACAGGAAAAGTCGAGAGGCAGAGGTCGGATTCGAACCACGGACCTTCCAGTCAGTAAATTCGCGCTCTACCACTTGAACCATCTTGCTCCATCCGCTGAAATCTCTCCGGCGACTGAACTTCATGGCATTCTAGTACACTTTTACTCAAGAAGCATGGTTTTGTCAGTAGTACAAATACTTGTTTATGACGGAGGATAACCGGTAATTATGGTCGGATATTTCCCATCTAGAGCTATCAACAAATACACGCATCCAGAATTCGTTGAAGGGGGCACATCTTACATCGATGTTCACTACAGAAAATCAAATGGCCAACAGTATGCGATTGGTTTGCAGGTATGTGAATTAACCTCAGTTCATTTAAGTGCCGCTGCAGACCGAAAAGTCGCTAAGACCACCAATCGACGTTGTCTGGCGACGTCGGAAGTCCCTAGAGCGTTCACAGACGTAATTAATCGGCAATCAATCGATGGAATTCCTGTTTGTCTCTCTCGGAATCAAGCTAGTTGGACATCATCACACTTGGTAATGGGTGCGGTGAAAAGTAATCCACTCTTCCAAATGTCAGGTTATTTTTCTCCAAGTATGTCCGAAGCAATAGCGGAGAAATGATATTTGTGGAGACCACATCTCTGAATGCCATTGAGCACTAATCAACCGTTTATAGTGCACGTTGTGCAAAGGCTGAGCGCCTGATTGCGGTTACTTCAGTTGTTCTAAACCTTGTTCTTTTTCTGTCTAGCTGATCGCTTGTAGTTTCCTTCGTTTCAGAAGGGTTTGCCTAAAGCTGCTACCTTGACGTTGTGGTAGGGCTTGAGCCTTGCGGAATTTCGTGTCAAAATATGCAGCCTTGCCAAGAAGATCGAAAGGGAAGTGGTCAGACCAAGAGCAGTGAAACTCCACACAACGAGTAGTCCTATTATGAAGCACGAGGGCTGAGCTACTGCCAGGTTGCCTAAGCCTAGACAGGGGAAGTTAAGAGGCAGAGGTTGGGTTCGAACCACGGACCTTCCGGTTAGTAAATTCGCCCTCTAACCACTGAGCCATCGCGACGCAAACCAGTCCCAAATACCTGTCAACCCCAAAATAGTTGAACGTAAGTAAAAAATAAGTTGGTGATCTAGGTTGCTGTTTTTGTCACACCACTGGATGAGAACAAGCAATTTGTGTTAAGGTCAGTCAGTTAAGGCCAGTCATCCTTCAACGATGCGGTCCAGTTTACGTGATCCGGTGTTTACTGACTGCTCGAGGAACGACCTCAAAGGAACGTGTCCCACAAGAACTGAGCAGGTTATCTACGGTTTTAAGTACTATATCGCGTCCAATATTCCGTTCAGTATTGCGCTGTGTACATAATTATAGGACGGACAGCTCGGCCAGATATGTAGAGTGCAACAGATTCACATGACCATGTGTTTGTAAGTAGTTCACAAGTGGAGGGTGGCTTCAGAAAGAAATATGGTACTGATTCATTGCCGACTGGGGTATGCTTACCCCTTGTAAACACTACAAAAAAAAGTCCAAATTTAAATAAGGCATGTACGATGGGTACTCAGCCGAGGAATTTGAAAAAGCCAGCTCTTAATTTTGATTGTCACTCCTGGCTCAAAAACGTAACTAGGACGCATAACCAAAGGTTGTCTCCAGAAGTGAATTTGGTCTTGCCTGATGGTCTGTCCAATCGTAAACGGCTTGTACCACTTCATTCCATGTCCTATCATTAAGATGTTGACTCCATCCATTAGGTCCACTCTGCTCGGTTCGTTTCGATGTAAACAAGCCTGCTTTGTCCATTTCATTCGTGCGTGCCGCTCGTACCCTCAAACAGTGCCGAAGCTTGCTCCACATTTCACGTATGAAGGAAGTCTTTACATCGGCATAGTAACACAGTTGTTTGGAAGGGTAGGGTGCCATGTGTTGCTCCAAGTCCTTCCCTGTGGACTTGAAATTGTCAGGGAATATTCCGTTATGCAGTCCACCGATTCATCCTTCTTTAGTGGAACAAATTGCAGTACTCTTAAAGCGATTCGTTCGCGCATAATACCAGAAGAATCACCAATTTTCTATTCGCTACTCATGAGTAGTCGTTGCAAAACGTAATGCAGGAATGTACTCACCTGATACACTAAAGGAGATGTACTGGAAACCTCTCCAGTATGCAGTCCATTTTGACTTTAACAGTGTGGATATGATTCACTTATTTTAACCGGATATTTTCATCGGAACATCAAAAGTGCGGATCACCAGCAATATATGGTGAGGTCGGGATGTGGTCGGGATGAAAGGACCTTGCAAAGGTTGGATGTAAAGGACACTAATAAGCAGCCACTTAACTTGTTTGAATACACGTGAATATGTTTCTGATCAGCCCAAAGATGCCTATCGAGTTTCTGCTTCCGCACCATGGGAAGTGTCCTTGCAATTCACTGACCTTCTAATTCCCGAATCTCTTCGTCTTCCTGCTTGTTTAGTTGGTCATCTTCTGCTGGCCCGATGGATTCCGTTGGCGATGGCGGACATTTGTTCTGAGAAACATCTTCCTCCGTTCGTTTTAGCTGATCGATGAGAGCGAACTGGTCCACGTGAGGTTTTGGTTCCGCAGGGTCTGTAGTACATATACCGTTTGTTTTGACCTGAACGCCCCGATCCACGGTAAGACACGTGCCGGGGTTCTACGAAAGACAGATCAACATCATTGACTGATATCATCATGCATTATCTATTCTTTGTAAAATACGCCCACTACTGGCGAAAGGAAGAAGGTCCTTGCTTCAGAGTTGTTTGTTAGAGAAACAATAACTGAACAGTTACAAACTATTGGCCAGGGGAGCAAAACTCTCGTAAGTGAATATTCACCATCTCCTTGAACGCGTCTTCCTGAACTTTCCTGGATATATTAATTGACTAGTACTCAATTGCAAGCAAATGCTACAAAGCGACTCCACAAATTTTGTAACAGATCTCACTTTTCAAGAGACGTGAGGAGGATTTACGAGAAAACATATTACTCGCATGCTACCCATCAGTAGTATCACGATTACACTGGTATTCCTACCGCTATGGTTGGTTGTCTTTCAGGAAGTCGCCTTTGGGTCTTCACCATAAATGAGGTTGAACGGTGGTGTCTGAAATCACCATAAAACTAGGGGTGTAACTACCCTCGTGCCGCATTATGGAGGTTAGCATGGAGACAATCAAGTCACTCCTATTCGAGAAATACACTCATTTGCAAATCAATTTAGTTTCCACAAAAGGCTAAACGGAATCTCTCGTTTATGGTATTCTGCAAGTAAACATGCTACACCCTGGCCGCCTCATGATTTAGTTGGCACGATATTCGAGATATTGAAGTGTATTTTCATAAAAGAAACTACTCACAAGGTTGCTGAAAACTCTTCGACAGGTGTTGAAGAGACTTCAGCAATCTTGTGAGTAGTTTCCTTTATGTAAGTCACTCCTACCTGGATTTTGTGAAGACAAGCAATGAGCTTAGTTAATTTGTAGAATGTAGAGATATCGATCTGCGCTCTAGCCTGTAATTTTAGTTAACCCGGTGCCGAAAGACTCACGGGCACTGTTCTGCTGTTTGATCAATAGTGGAAATGCTCTGAACAAGTACAAGTTAGCCACACCGCGGATTGGGTGCTCGTGGTAGAACTCAAGTTTACAGCTACCGGTCAGGAGGCCGCGCCTACAAGTCACCTTGGCGACTCGCAAAATGCGCACTGTTGAAGATAGGGGTGAAACACGTGTGCATTATAGCTCTGCATTCTGAACAAAGATTACCTTCACTCAGAACCGAATTTTTGACCGAAATTCGCTCAGTGCGCATTTGCCTAAACTGACATTCGCGGTGAGCTGGATGGTCGAACGTCTCCATTAAGCAAGAGAGCTCTTGCAATATAACACTGCCATTTGCGTCACAGGTACCATGCTTACACGCAGGTAGTGATAGCATGGGGAGGCTGAGGTAACGGTGAATCCCGTGCAAGCTTTGAGAACCTGATGGCAATGTTTTCACGGCCACATCACACTATAGAGGGTTTATTTGGCTATTTATTTACTGGCCAAAGTAAAACAAACTTACCAGTCAGCCAAGAGTGGCTATCAGAAACAACCTTTCCCTTGTGTTGTCTGATAATAACGTTTCCATTAAAAGTACAAATCACTAAAATGGTCAAATCTGTTTTCATAAAGGAAACTACTCATAAGGTTGCTGTGCTGACCTTGACAGCCCACGACCGGTTTCGCCCTTCTTGGAGCTCACCAGGTAGGCGCAGTCCCCGAGTTCCAGTCAACCTTATGTTCTACGTGAACCCAAATTGCACTGTTTTCGAGAAATACACTCATTTGCAAATCAATTTGGTTTTCACGAAAGACTCAACTGAATCCCTCGTTTATGATATTCTCCAACTGAATGTGCCGCACACAGACCGCCTCATGTTTCAGTTGGCACGATGTTCGATATATCATATTCTAGAATACCATAAACGAGAGATTTATTTGAGTCTCTCGTGAAAACCAAATAGATTTGCAAATGAGTGCATTTAGCGATCCAGTCTGTGGTTCGGTTGAAAGGGCGTTATACGAATGTTACAAATTCTCGACTCGATGGTTACTTCATATGAGCATTACGGATAGAAAACGAGATTAAATTGCTCACGTTCCCCTCTTTTGCGTACTTACCGCTGCAGCGCATTGTCTGATCGTCTTCCATTGAGCGAAGTCCTTTCGCCGTCTACTGAATGGAGAAAAATTGGGCAAGCTTAGCCATCAATCACATCTGTAGGTTGTACACCCCAAACTCAGTGTGTGAACGAAGCCTGCTAACAGCCAAAAAACAGCATGCTCAAAGTATACTTATACCGAACGGTAAACTTTACAGTGAGGTTGGCGCCAAGAAATAACATCAGATATCATTGTACACACCATATAGTTTGTGCTTGAACACCTTGAATAGAATTGCTGCTAAAACCATTGACCTTGCCTGGGAATTTCGAAGAAATCAGTGTAAAGAGGTAATAATTGTGATAGACGCTTAAAGTACAAATAGATTGCCCCTCCCAGTTTTTGTTCTCCGCGAATGAGCAGTTCCCCCTTCCCCCCACCTAAGAGATATATCGGTGGATGCATTAGAAAGTCAGCAACCATTCAGAATGTCGATATATTCTACCTCATCCTCTATCATCAGTTGAAGTTAGCTTTTCAGAAGCTAGGCAAAGGGACATCAGCTTTCCCCTCAGTTATGGTGAGCTAGGACGTTTTCATCTCGCTTTTCACACTAACGTAAGTTTCTAACATAACCTGATACGACTGAATTGACAGGATTGGTGTTGTGAGATGTGCCGTAGAGTGTGAGGTAGTGTCTCTTCAAAGCAGTGTAATCGTTACTGTCCTATGAATGCTTATTTCTGTGGGTGTCACTTCAAGCAAATGGCCCAAGTGAGTACAGGATCTCGTCACATGATCGTTTTTCCCAAGGCTAAAGGGAATTTTGCTTGCCTCTTTCAAAGTGATGTCACGGGGTGTTTCTAGACGGTTATCAGACCAAGTACCACAGTCTCACTTACTTTCCCGAATGCTCGCTCGTAGCTCACCTTGGTCAAAGTTCACACATTGTTGAATCAAGCTGTTAGTCTTGAATGGCAAGGAATAAGATTCTATTCACTTGTAAACTTTCTATGAATAAATCCACCTGCTATTGAATTTCGGTAGCTCAATCCACTCCCTAACAGCTTACGGATTCTGTCATCCTGATTGACGACGAAACGTCTGTGATCGAACTGCCCAGTTCAGCAAACAAACCAACACTTATAACCTTGTCTGTCCAAGCGTAGTAATTCATGCCCATTCAGCGTGCACTCGCCTCGCATGTCAGTCATGCGGATTTAAAAGTTCAAGCATGAGTACTGCTCACGAGGACTAGATTTCTGCTTAAGCTGAGTGCTACTCTGCTTTGGTGTTGACCAACGAGAATAATTGCGCTAGGGCAGAACGAAGAGTGTTCAACACGGAGTGACAGGGGTGTGAATTCCACAAACTCCTCAATCAGCTGCAACTAATCTTTGTTTTGTTTTCGATTGACAGAAGTGTAAAAATCGAGAAACTCGTCAACAGTGAATATGCACTTCAGGATAGAGAGCTTTGTCTATTTTCTGATTGATCTAATAGGGATAGCTAGAACAAGAAGAGGACTGAAAGTGAGCTGCAAACCAATTTCAGGTGAACGAGATGAGAATGATGTTACACGACACATACTCCGTCTAGTTTGCGTAAGTTCTCGTCAAGTTTGCTGGTGAAGTTCATCAATTACTATCCATTAAGCTTAGATGCTAGATATTAAACAGGGTCGAGAAAAGTAAACGAGTCGCAAATTTCCAAACCGCATAAGCACGTGCTTTAAGAGCTTTGAACAGAGCTCACGTCCAACGGACCTATTTGATGGGTTCGTCATCCGAAAGGACACACCCCATACAGACTTCGGTTGAAGAACTGAGGCTAAGTTGAATCAGGGTGGCCAGAAAAACCGCAGATCACGGACGATCAGGGGAGAACGTAACTCATAGTTGTAAAGACGTTGAATAGAGTGGGTAGATCTCGTCAAAAGCTTTGGGTATCCTAAGAAGACATTACAAAAATATGGAGATCCGAATAGGATATTATCCAGATAAGCTTCGCCACTAGCGCAAAAAGTGCATTTGCGAAAAGTTAAGCCCAGCCACTTTTGCTAGCTCCAATTTAGTGTACGCACATAACCTCAACCTATTTTTGATGTAAACAATTCCTTATCCGCATCTAGGCTCATTTTGTGCAGATGTAAAACCTTAAATGAATTTTCTGACGCTTTCAACTCTCGTTCATGACAATTAGACGACAATACGTTTTTCGCAAAGTCACGGAGTGATCCATCAGCAACGTTTATGCGACAATGACACTTTCAACTGTTTCTGACATGTGGATGTGTAATGCCCGACAGTGTCGGCAAGAAACCGGTCTTTAAACGGGAACTTGGTTGGAGCGGTCTCGGATGGAGTTTAGGACAGTAATTCTTTTCGGATCTTTTCCCGATAAACCCCACCACTAATGTAAAAAGTGCATGTGCGTAAAGTTAAGCCCCGCCACTTTTTGCCAGCTCGTCTGTAAAAGATCCGAAGTAAATAGAAAGAAGAGCGTATTGGAACTCATTCGTATTGAAACCCGAATTCGCGATCAGTGCGGTTTTCAGGTATTCTAACACCGGTCGGTGTTTTTCAAAAGGTTGGAGAAAGGTAGTATAAGCTGACCTCATTAGAGGTGAACTGATTGGGCCGAATGGTTTATTGACACGTCAGCCGTCGTTACGGAAAGTGGTAGAAAACTGGTAGACCAGAAGAAATCCAATGAGGTATAACTTCGGCGAAAACTTGGTTAAAAACCTCAGGTCCACACAGTACCGACTGTCTGGCTGTCGCTGGCAATTCGACGGTGAAATTGGAAAACCGAGATTGGAACCACTTGTAAATAAAAGCGCAAGTTACTAATTAGGCCACAATCGGTTTAGTGCCAATCAATTACCCCATCTAAACACATCTGTTTCAAATTAACTAACGATGCAAGGGTTGAAAAAAGAATCGTGTTTTCAACTCGAAAAGGGAACTTGTGAATCTCAACATGTATTCACAAGTATCCACTACTTATTTGGCTACCGGATTTCACATTCGCCTTGGACGAACACAGTGAACGTTTACGGTGCGTCTAGATTATTCATTTAACTTCAGTCAACTGGAAAACGCTTGGGATCCATTAATAAGTCATCGATTTCGGAACAGTTTTGAGAACGTTTCGGTCGTCAGGACAAATGACTGCGTTGAGAAGTTGATCAAGGTTTAAGGCGAAAGGAGAACCAAACAGCGGCTCAAATCAAGACTGCTAACAGACTTCAAGGAATAGGACACCCCGTGAGTTTGGATAGACGTCAGATGGAAAGATCAATGACTCCAGTATCAAGACCCATTGAGGAATGGACTGGCACAGCAGTCATTCAATATAAAGCAAGATCATCCGTTGTTATTCAAAGACTGCTGAGCATAGCCAACATTTGAGTGGCGTTACAGAAAGAAAAAAGTGTTCCACTCAGTTTTGTTGCTATTGAAAGATCTCCAGCCGGTTGAAGGGACCGTGGGTGTAAAATTAAATTCAACGATTTCACAAAGGTTCACTTAGGACAAACGGTCATGGAACTACACACAAGAAGTTGTGAGCAAAATAGAAGGATAGACGAACCGCCAAGCGATGCAGAAGAATACCAAGCGCTGGTACATTCGTTAGACACAGAACACAGATCAGATTTGGGGAATGCGGAAATCTCAACATGAGAAATGAGATACATACCACAGCAACTGATATCTGAGGAGGTAAAAATCACCGAACTATACAGTGTGAATAGAATCAAGGTTGTGGAAGTGACGGACGTATGGAAAGCGATCTTAGATGAGCCGATTTGTCAACAAATATAGAATTCTGTCGCAACCAGCACAGTCACTGGGTCGTCGTTCGATGAGTCGGGCACACCAATCACATCGCTCAATTGTGAACACGTTCGCCTGTTCAGGCGTGATAATTCGGATGCGTCCAACGTGCGTTGGTAGACTAGTGGTTACACGCTCGCCTCGCATGTCAAACGTCCGGGGTTCGAATCCCGGCACGACCATTGGATATGCACTGCTGGATCGCTCTAATAAGAGCGAAACTCGAGTCCAGTGTTTCCCTTTGGTGTGGACTCACCGGAGTAATTATACCAGAACAGGAACACGGCCGTTCAAACAAGGGTGGTGTGGCTATGACCAAAATGTAGAATCATTAACGAAAACAGTTGGGTGGAAATCCCAAATCGACCAAAGTTTACGGAATATCTCTCCCTCAGCAGCCTATCGTCCACACAGACAGAAAAAAATGTGAACGATGCTCAGGAGGATTCTTCATGTGAAACCAACCGGATGAACTACGCTCTAAGCCGGACCCAGTTCCGTGTGAGTCTTTCCATCAGCCTCAAGATTTACTAACCCATAGTAACAAACAGAATCCTTCAACCGACACCAACTTAGTCTAACTTAACTGATTGGCTCTCTTTCAACCAACCTCGTAACGTAGTAGTCAATTGCATTGACGAAGATTTTTATGTCAAAAGCTAGGGATGGGATACTGCCAGGTTGACCAAACCTTGACAGGGGAAGTCAGCAGATGGAGGTTGGACGGAGACCTGATCAATAGATTCCGTTATGAGAGGGAACAATGCGATAATGGATAAGTGTGAGATAGCTGCTATGAACTTCATACAAGGTGACCGGCAAGGCGATAGTTGTATCTGAGCCGTGTCCCGAGTGGCTGAAAGGATAAGGGTCCTGAAAATCCGCTTTTCCCCTAATTTTGTTTTCAACTTAGTCGGTCGAATGCACAAACACTGCCCCACCTATCGGAGGCCTGTTCACTATTCACATACATACAGGAAAGTGGTCAAGAAAGGAGGACTGCACCCGGAATGTCGTAAGCTGTTTGGAAACAAGTTTCCTCAGACAAGTTGGAAGTGGATCAAATTTTGGAAAACAAACCAAAAACATCAGTTTTTGATGTGGAACTTGTATTTCAAATGCCGCTCAAAAATTGGTAGCATTTGTATCGTAAGTTAATCGACACACCTAACGACCCCCGAGGACGTGAACAAACGTGTTGCTGGAATTTTATATAATCACCACAAAGAACGAG